CAATTTATTCGAATATAAATATAAGGTTTGATTTCTTTCACGTCAATATTTTCTGTCGGTTTGTTGACGGTGGGACAAAAAAAGATAAAGTTTGATTATATTGGGACAAAAAATAATGAGTTTTGGTTATATTAAGACTAAAATTGATAAAATTTTTATATTGGGATACAAATGATGATGTTTGGTTATATTGAGACCAAAATTGATAAAATTTTTATATTGAGACCAAAATTGATGAATTTTGATTATATTGAAACTAAAAATGATTTTTTTCTCCAAAAGTTATTTCAGTAATATTAGATTGAATATATATATATCTATTAAATCATAAAAATAATATGTTGTAATTCATATAAAAAATAAATGTATTTTAATATTAATGTATAATTATTTTTATTATAATAAAAAATAAATATTTTTGAATAAAAAATGAAAAATTCTTCTATTACTTGTATATAAATGACTAATTACCCTTTTAATTATTATTTTAATAGTACAAATTTTTATTCTTACCTTTTGGCTACTTGCTATGTATATACTTCCTCCATCCAATTGTAATTTTTTCATTTGATTTTTGCAAGTGAATTAAAGAAAATTATTATTTTATAGATATATAGTGTTAAAAATAATGTAACGTGTATTTTACATTTAAAAAGTAACGCTGAAAAGTAAAAGGTATGAATACTTTGATATTTAGTTGATAGTTACTTTTCCTAAAAACATAAATGAGAAATTTTGATTTGGACAGATTAAAATGAAAAATGAAAAATTTAGTAATGAATTGAGAGAGTATTTTTTTTTTTTTCATAAATTGAATGAAAGCTAAAAATAAAGGTAAATAATTAAATATACTTTCTCCGTCGACCTTTAAGGGTCACGTTACATTTTGAGTCATTGTACTTAACATTAAAAATATTTTTATATTTGTATGATTTTATGTACAAATGTCATTCTATTAGTATTATAAGACACTAATGAAAGTATTTTTTAAATTTTTACTTAATTTGTACTATGTTTAGATATAATAATCAATATCCAAAGATCAACACATACAAAAACAAATGACACCCTTATAGCCGGACAAAATTAATGTATAGACAATAAAAATTGCACAGTATTTTTTTTTTTTTTATTTTTTATTTATCCCCATCTAAATACCATAACACAAAATGACAAATTTATTTCTATTTACGTAATTATCAATTAAAAAACTAAAATAAAATAAAATAAAATAAAAATATTGATTGGAAATACGTACAATACAGAGAAAGAGTAGAAAAAGTGAAAGTATGGGAAACTTTCTTCTGAGCCGGTTGATTCCTGCAGAGTAAAAAGTACATTGACCATGCCACGCATTAATTAATTATTTATATTTTATTTAAATTATATTTAAAATTCATTTATTCTTAACAATTAATTTTATTTATTTAAAGTAGGAATAGGGAACTGGAACTTCGACTTCAATAATTTATTCAGACTATAATGGGCGACCATTTATATTTTCCTTTTATTTTTTAAATAAAAAATCATTTCTAAACAGCTCGATCTCAAATTTATTATTTTTATTACTACTTATGATTCGCTTTATCCGATTTATCTTGTAAGATCTAATTTGTAAGTCATTAAATTCGGCCGAAATTTATCCATTAAATATTTGAAAAATAGTACTCTTTCCGTTCCACCGAAATTGAATCATTTGATTATGAACAAAGTATTTAAGGTGATGATGTTTAATTAGTTAATAATAATTACTTATAATATTATTATATTATTTTGTTGTATGATTAATAATATTTATATTTTTAAAGTACATTTAATATATATGATTATAAAATTAAAATATATGTTTAAATATTTAAAAATTATATAGCAATTAAAAAATATATGCAATATAAATATCATTTTATAGAAAATAAAATTTTCTATAATATAAGTAAATAAAAAAATATTTTTTTTATTTATAATTAACATAAATCAATTTTATAAAAGATGTGTAATTTTAAATATTTATTTTTTGAAGAAAAATGTAGAAATAAAGAAGTTTTGAGTGAGTCCTGTTGTATGTTATGTAGTTAATTAAGTTGATTTATATTTGTTAAATATATTTTGATTTAATAATTTTTACCAAAATTAAAAAGGTATCAATTGTTACAAGACAGACAAAAATGAAAATAGCGTCAATTCTTGTGGGACGAAGGAGTAGTAACTAAGAGTTCCTATATCATAACAAAATATATATATAAATTTTGTGTGTGCACTTTGAATTTTTTTTATATTAAATATAAAAATTTGTGTATGTAATATATAAATATAATAATATTTTACTTTAAATTATGAAATTTTATAAATAAATTAAGTATTTATAATATATTAATATATTATGCTCTATTTGTTATTCAATTGTGTGCTCATTTGACCGCACACAAGTTTTAAGAAAAATAGATAAAAATAGAAATTCATACTTTTTTGGGTAAAAAAAAAAGTAGAAAAAATAGTACTCCCTTCGTCCCAATACAATAGTCATATTTGCCAATTTTGTCCGTCCCAAAACAATAGTCTCATTTTCATAAATAATCATATCACTATAAAACTACCCTTATATTTTATTATTATTATTATTACACAATTGTCACAACTTTTTATATTAATACACTCACAAGGGCAAAAAAGTCTTTTATCCGTACTTTTTATCCATTATCAATATAATATCAATATTCCTTAATTCACGTGTCAAACATAATTCAAACTATAATTTTTGAACGAATGAAATATTTTTTACTAAAGAAGAAAACGAAAATAAATGAATGAAAAAAAAAAAAAAACATTTGGATAACAAATATAGTATAAATAAGTTACTGATATTAGTTCAACATCATGTCAATAAAAAATTATTTAATGAACATACTTCATTTTTTTAATATAATTTATAAAATTACTACAAATAGATAGGAGAAGAAAAAGTGTAGAGATAAAAAAATATATATATGTATATTACTTAATAGTTAAAATAAACATTTATTTTAGGGATAAAGGTATATATTATGGGTTTGGTTGACCAATAATTTTTTCTATTGCATTCTCAATATATATTTTAATTATCTCACAAAAGTTAGTATTTTATTATTTTTATCACAAAATATTATATTAATTTTTTTAAAAAAGAAATTAAAATCCAAATTAATATCCAATTTAAAATAATTTCAAATCACAACTAAATAAACATGTAACAATAAAGATATATAGAACATAAATACTTTTAAGGCAATGTAAGTAAATTTTGTGTGTAATATTTTACATAAAAAAATAACACTATATATCAAATAAAAATATATACTTGATGTTATATATAGGCTTTGTTTAGACCGGGATTTTCGAATATTTTTTAAATTTTGAATTTTTTAAAATAGTAAATAATAATTATTTAATATGGTATTTTATGAAAATAATACTTAATATGATATTTTAAAAAAATAAATAATCCCAAAGTTTTTAAAAGCAGAGCCAATGTTTTGTAAATAAAAAATTAATATTAACAAAATATTGAAAAAATGTTTGTTTGGGTATTTTGATTTATTTTTTACTATTCATAATTTTTTTCCACTGAAAATATAAATCAAATATCTATTTTTATATTACAAAAAAAATAATTAATTTTACGCTATTAAAATATTATATCAATTTTTTTTATATTATATAAAAAAACTATTTAAATATATAAATTTTATTATTTAAATCAAAACACAAAATAAAATCACCTAAACAACCACACATGTAAAACACACCCTTATTAGTTTTTATAAAAACTATAATTAGAAAATAATTTAAAAATAATATATCTATGCAAGAGTATAATTAAAAAATAATTAAAAAGTAATATATATATGTCATAATTCAAATTACTATTTTTACTATTTTCGTCAGTCATACTCAAAAGTATCAATTTTTCTTTTTAATAAAAATAATCATATAATAATGCAAAATATACACAAATATAATATTATACATACAATTGTCTTTACATAAAGTCAAATGACAAAAAAATCAAAATTTATTACATAATTTTATTATCCAATAAAATATTATTATTTCTTAGTTTACTATAAAATTTTAAATGACCAATTTCAAAATAGACGGAACATGTATATTAATAGAAATAATTATTAAATAATGTAAATAATTATATATTAAAATAAATAACTAATTAATTTTATTAAAATTAAAATAATTATAAATTATTATTATAATACATAATGATTTTTTTTTGTAAAAAAATTATATGAAATATACCGAAATAAAAATTGTGGACAAATTATTTGTGATTAAAAAATAAAAGTTTTTAAATTGTAGATAGATATATTTATTTTTAAAAATAGTAATACTAAATTATAAACACTTCATATTTTATTTCCTAAAGATATATTTTATCCTACCGCCTACAAGGTCAAATTTACCTTTTGCACAATTGTAGTTAATATTAAAAATATTATTATATTTGTATAATTTTTTTTACAAATATCCTTATATTAATATTATAAGACACTAATAAAAATATTTCGGCAATTTTTTCTTAATTTGTGTTACGTTTTGAAATAAAATTAATATTTAAAGATCAACATGAAAAAGTAAATGAGATATTTAAAGCCGAACGAATGTAGTATTTTCTTAAAAATTGAAAATATAATGTATAACGATATATTTTATTAAAAAAAATTAAAAAATTTGAGAATTTAATTAGTGAAAATAAGATATTTTTGGTAAAAAAAACAAAACCTGATACATTTGAAACGTAAATACGGTAAAGTGATGTACCACACGGCGGCATTTGATTGGAGGGTCCAGGACCGTGCGAAGCACCCGATTTAAGCTAAAGAAGTCTCTGCAAGTGGGCCCACAATAATGGGCCGTCACACGTGTCGGCCCATTCTGATTTGGGCCCAAATACTCTCTCTGTTCTTTTCTGTCTCTGTCTCTGTCTTTCTCTCCCTCCCTCTCTCTCTCACACACACGCACGTACAGAGTGAGAGAGAGAGAGGCAATGGCGAATCATAAAAGAACATCAGAGAGCGGTTTCTCCTCCGACTTTTTTCCTGAATGGAGATGGCTGCTGCTTGGAGCACATCTCTAGGCCTCTCTTTCTTTATCTATCTCCACTGCAACTTTATTTGACTTATAATGAGCGCACGCCTTGGAACTCTTCTTCTCCGAAGAAGATGCCGATGTCTTCTCGCCAACAATCTTCCAATCTCTTCTTCCTCGATGCTCTTTATTGTCAGGAACAGCATTGGAATAACGTAATCGAGCTGGAATCCCGACCAATTGAAGAAGAAGACGACGACGACGCCCAATTCGAGCCTGGACCAAACCCTAATTCTTTGCTGGGGATTTTTGGGGGGAATTCGCGCTTCAACGACGACGAGGAATTGAAATTCCTGTTGAATAAAGAGGTTGAGAATGGATTCCGCGGCGGATTTGAGTGGAATCCGGGTTTGATTGAAGCTAGGGTTGAGGCAGTGGAGGGGATAATTAGGGTTGTTGGCCATTACTGTTTTTCTGCACTCACTGCAATTCTTGCCATTGATTATTTCGATAGGTTTCTTCAGAGCTGCTTTCGCCCCCAATTTGAGAAGCCATGGATGCCTCAGTTGGCTGCTGTTGCTTGCCTTTCCTTGGCTGCTAAAGTTGAAGAAACTCAAGTCCCTCTTCTTCTAGACCTCCAAGTATACATACACATACATTCATATATATATAGATAGATATATATATGATCTCTCTTTCTCTCATCTATCTTACAAATTGGGGTTTATTGCAGGTGGAGGAAACACAGTATGTGTTCGATTCAAGAACAATTCAAAGAATGGAGCTTTTGATACTATCAACGCTGAAATGGAGGATGAATCCGGTGACTCCTCTGTCATTTTTGGAGTGCATTGTAAGAGGGTTTGATTTGGAGAGCCATTTCTGTGGCAAGTTTATGAGGAGATCTAAGAGTCTGCTTTTGTCTGTCATTTCCGGTGAACATAAACATCTTACTAATGCTATTACTATTATTTTCTGTCTCTTGATTGTTGTTGTCTAATTATGTAAAGAAAAAAAAATGGTTCAGATTGTAGATTGATGAGGTATTCTCCCTCAGCAATGGCTGCTGCAACAATGCTGTATGTTATAAGCAGCCTAGAGCCCTCCATTGGAGTGGAATCTCAGGACAAATTGGCAGCCATTCTTGGAACCAACAAGGTTTTTATTTGATTTTATTACAAATTGGGATGTTGTTCTTACTGCATTTATCGATGTTTATGTAAATCTGATGAACAATTTGATTAGTGCAGGAGAAAGTGGAGGAGTGCTTGAGGGTGATGCAAGAAGCAATGGCAGCCACAAGCAGAAAGAGGAAACAGGAAATGAGCCCAAAAGGGGGATTGGAAATGTGCTTCAGTTACAGCTCTGATAGCTCAAATGAGTCATGGGGAGTGACCTCAACAGAGCAGCCATTGTTGAAGAAGCTCAAGAAAACCTTAAATGGACCAGAGGGTACTACTGCAAGTATGTGATTATGATATTGCCCAACTGTCTGCCATTGATTAATATCTCTTTCCCATATATGTGATATGATATGATTGAATAACATTTGTATGAATTCTACTAATTAGTTAATATGAAATGCCTTTTCTTGTATTCAATGTTTTGCAAGAATGAATTGATGGTATCAAGAGTGGTGGTGCCTGGTCTCTGGTCATATGTTGTGTGTGGGCATTTTGATTTTGTTTGTCTGATAAGATTATTGGTGGGGTGGGGTTGGGTTTGTGGATGGATGTCTGTCTGTCTTGGTTGAGGACCATTTTGTGGTAAATAAAAATGGTTGGCATCTTGTCGGCATAGAGCCAAGAAATCTCAATACACACTCACAAGTATAAATATATATTTTCAAACTACTAATATATATTGCTATTTAGAACCTTAAAAAAAATACTATATGTATATATATGTGTTTTTGAATTCTACTATATTAATAAAACATTTTATCATTTTACATAAAGATATTAAAAATAAGTATATAATTAAAAGAACCCATCAGGTAGGTTCAAAGGGTTGGATGAATCCAGCTGCCTCACTTGGATGATGATATGTTAATGTTATTGACTTTGCTTTTCTTGCATACATGTGCCCTTTTCGGTCCCCTTCTAATAATATTAATGATAAAATAATACTCCCTCCGTGTCACATATCGTCTTCGTATTTTATAGGAGGGATGTAATTAGTAGATAATTAAGAATATATTAGAAAAAATAATTATCATATAATACAAATAATTATAAATTAAGATTAAGATAACTAATTAATTTAATTAAAACTTAAAAAAATAAAATTAAAAAGTTTAAAATGAGATTAAAGTGTATAATCATTTTTAAAAAAAAAAAATGACATGATATAAGGGACGGACAGAAACAAGTGGATATGGGAGTAATAATAAATAATAATAATTCCTTAATAATCTAATGTGAATAATAATAATGATAAAATAATAATAATAATAATAATAATAATAATAATAATAGTTCTTTAATAATCTAATTGATTTGTGAACTTAATTTACAAATTATTATGTTCAATGAGGATTTATCCATAGCACATTTGAATAATGGACTCCAGCTTATAACGTTATAAAAAATACTTTATCCCATTTTTTTCGTCTATTATTTTTATTTTTGTACGTTTTACTTTATTTATTACTCTCTCTGTCCACTTACGTTTATATATTTCTATTTTGGGACGTCCAATTAAAAAGTTAAAATTTTATTAAATACTCTATTTTTTTTTAACAAATACCTTTACTTTACATCACATCATTACTTTTACACAGAAAAAACAAGGGCAAAAATGTCATTACACTACTTTTAACTACTCACTATAATTACTGCGCCAAAAGTAAATGTAAACATTGTAAGTGGAAGGAGAGAGTATTATTTTTTAGAAAATATAATTATACACTTTAATCAATAGTTTATAATTTTGTAAATTTTCATTATTATTTAGTTATGTTAACTTTAATCTATAATTAATTTTATTACATTATAATTATTTTTACTAATACACTTCTTACTAATTATATTTTACCTAAATTCTCGTATATACGTTAAACTGAAAGCACAAAATGTGACCTAGCGAATAATAATAGTTCCACAGGTTTAGGGTTTAGGGTATGGAGAATAGTTCAAATTTTGATGCTTTCAAGTAGAAAAAGAAAACCACAAAAATAAAATAGTTTGAATTGAATTTAAAATTTTTTAATTTATATTTAAACAATATTAATATAATTTTTTATTTTCAAAAAATATTAAATTTAAGTCGTAAAAAATAATTAACACAAGAAACACAGCCAATAAAATTATTGAGGGTTTGTACTTTTAGGGTGTGTTTGTTTGGAGGATTGGATTTTAAAAACAGTATTTATTCTATTTTTTTTCCCTAAAAAATCAAATCAAACATTTATTTTTTATTTTTTTATATTATAATAAAAATTAATGTTACATTTAAAATATCACATCAATATATATTTATATCACATTATGTAGCTATTCAAATTCAAAATTTTTACTATTTAAATTCCAATTCAAAATCAAAACCGAATAGTGTGATATGTCAAGTTGTCAACCCATTTTGTATAATTAGGGTCTATTGAGAAATCAAAAGGGCGATAAAATGATGAAATTGGTTGGGGGGGACAAGACAAGGAAGGATGATGATGATATGTTCTGATTTGGGCTAATGTTGTCAATTTTTGGTTCTTTAGGAATTTATTATATTTATTTAAATATGATATTTTATTTCAAAATTATAATTTTTTTTTAATAAAAATCAAAACGATTATATATATATATATATATAATTTGAATTGAATTAATTTATTTTTCCTTGCACTGTTGTTGGTAGTTAGAAGAATAGACTTTAGTAGTAGTGTGTTTTTCAAACCCAATTATTAAAATTATTTAAAGCAGAAGAGACAATTTTGTGTGTGTATATATATATATATATATTTTGATGGATATAGAGAGAGAGAGTGGGTTCCACTTTTATTTTCTTATTTTAAATTCATTTTCAACACTTAATAATAATAATAATAATAATAATAATAATAATAATAATAATAATAATAATGTCTTATAATACTAATAAAATGATATTTATACAAAATGTAATATAAATTAAAAAAAAGTTATAAAAATATTTCTATTAGTGTCTTATAGTACTAATAAAAGGTATTTATACAAAAAAAAAAAAATTATTCAAATATAAAAATATTTTTACTATTGAATACAATGATGCAAAATATAAATATAATTCTTAAAAACACGAAATAAATACTTTTTTTTAATGTATTTTCTCTTGGGAGACTTAATTTACAGGTTATTTGATTCAACCAATTATTTACACATAACTCATTAAAAAAAAACAATTGCAAATATCTACGTGAAACAAATATAGTAATAATAAAATTATTATTTTTTTTTTTTATTATTATTTTATATATATATATATATATTTTCTCTTCTATATCCCAACCCCTTGTCAAAACAACAATCATAAAACCATTCAATTTGTTAATATTATAATTACAATATATATATTGTGTTTTACATTTAATTTTAGATGCAAATTTAGGATTTAAAAATAATAATAAATTAAATTAAATTACTATCTACTTTGATAGAGATTGGTATTTGTTTTGATAAATTTTAAATAAGAATTTGTTTTTAATTAATATATTAAATAATAATATATTTACTTTAATAATATTCTTCCATCTCAAATAAAAATATCCATTTAAATTTTCATAGAAAATAAAAAAACAATAATATTTTATTAATTAATAAAAATATATAAAATAATTTTTATTTTTTTTTTATCATTTATACTTTATATATATTTATTGATATATTTGTAATTTATATAAAAATAAAAATATTTTAGTATTAGTATGTAATTATTTTTATTGTAAAAAAAATATGTTTAAATAAATAATAAGAAAACTTTTAGTATGACAAAATGAAAATTATAAAAATGAAAGAAATTTGCCAAATAAAAACCAAAATTAGGGTGTGTTTCTTTTAGTTGAGTTTGAGAAAATTTAGTTTGGATTTGGTATTAAAATAATATTTTAATGAAATATTTTGTGATTTTGTGATTTTTTTTAAAAAAAGTACAAAGTTCAAATAGTAAAATATGAAAAAATTGGATAAAAAAAACATAAGTAAACAACTACTCCCTCCCAAAAGAGACGTCTTATTGGGTGTTGGCACGAAAATTAAAGAATAATATTATTTAATTGAAAATGAATATAAAGTAGAATATAAAAGACTAAAATATTATTGAATATTAAAAAATAGGTTAGAGTAATAATTAGAGATAATTTAAAAAAAATATAAATAATTTTATTATAAAATAAGAACTACCGATTACTAAATAAAAAAATAAAATAATTATTCTGAAATATACAAAAATGAAAAAATAAAACAACTATTTTGAAAAAAAAGATAATAATAAAATAATTCTAATAGTGCTTAGTAGTCGTACAAAGGGAGCCATTAATTATCAAATCATTATTTCCTCAAGATTGATGAAGTAAATAAATAAATAAAGATATATATATATAGATACATATAGTGCACACTGAACATGGTGGACAGTAATAAGTACTCCCTGCCTTCTCCAGCTTTCCACATTGAAATCTACAAACCAAATTAATAATAATAATAATAATAATACAATTTTATTCCATATATTTATTAAACTGGAGTTGCTCCAGTACTGGACTGCACTGCTGCAGTTATTTATTTATTTGATTTAATACTACTAATTTATGGAAATTCTTTTTTGAGTCAAATTTTCATACAGACCTCTGCAGCTCCATTTTTGTGCTATTCATTTCTTACACTAAATTTCACTTTCATCCTTCAAAAATTCTTTCTTTCCTTACAAAATCCTTCAAAAATTCTTTCTTTTCTTACAAAACTTCTTTCTTTTTTTTCTTTTTTTTTTTTTTTTTTTTTTTTAATGTTTGGAGATAAACAAAATAATAAAAATAAAGGCGTAGTTGTTTTTTTTGTTATTTATTTATCTATTTATTTTATCTATTATTATTAGATTAAATTGCACAAAATTCAATTTTGATTTTACGAAATTGCATGAAATTTCTAATATTTTTAAAATTGCGTCAAACTCCTTTGTAGTTTTATAAACTCTACGTCTAACCCCCTCACCCCTCTTTATGTAACTAACGTTGTTTAATTTGCAAATAAGTTTCAGAATCTTCATTTCTAAGGGTATGTTTCTTTAGGGGAGTTTAGGGAAAGTTGGGTTTAGGTTTGGGGAGTTTTTATCTGATTTTAAAAGTGTTTTTTTTACTGTTCTTTTAAGGATAAATATAAGATAAATGAATATATATATAACTTTAGGAGTTTAAAAATGAGTATTCTGAAATTCATTCGGAGTTTGAGCATGTATAAGTAAAAAACTGATAAATAAGGATGGCCGATAAGAGTTGGATGCAAAGTTTATAAAATTACGAAAAAATTTGACGTAATTTTAAAAATATGAAAACTTTAAGCAATTTTGTGAAACCGCAAATAAATTTTATACAATTTAACCTTATTATTATTATTATTATTATTATTGTAAAGAAAGAAGTGGACAAAGAAAATAGAAGAAGGGCAGTGCCCAAATATAAAGCAGATTAAG